ACTGCTGGGTTTTAAATGATTATGGTTTTAAAGTTGGTTGTCATCAAAGTTTTGAATTTTCTTCCTTTTGGCCAATTAATTGGACAGATATTTACTGAGGACTTCTGTTCTAGATATTGTTCTAGGTGCTAGGAATATATCAAAAAAGAAAACGATTGACTATCTCTGCTAACATGAAGTTTGCATTCTAGTGGAGTAGGAAAAATAAATGACAACTACATGTAGTGTAAGTAAGAATATGACATGATACAGTAGATGGTGAAAAGTACTATTCAAAATACAACAGGACACAGGAGTCTAGAGTGGTGGGGCTAGGGGTAGATAGGTTGGAGTATTAAGAGATGATCAAGGTGGGCCTCATTGAGATGCTAACATTTGGGTGAAAGCTTGAAGGACGTGAGGGAACCAGCACAGGGAAAGCTGCGTACAAGCAGATAAAGCCTGTAAAGTGGAAGCTTTCCTGGAGTGTGAAGCCAGTGTGTGAAGATGAGCCTTATAGGACAGGAGGTGAGATAGGAGAGGAGGTGAAGACCTAGTTGGCCACATAAAAGAGGGAGACTTAGAAATAATAAATACTTAAGTTAATCAGTATTCTCTGATTCTTTACTGGGAATTCCAAATTCTCATTAGATCCTAAGATACAATCATTTCAGTTTTTTCCTTCCAGCTTCCTGGAATGGAACTGTGTTCTTTGTGAAGGCCTGAGGAAGAGCAAATTTAGCTGCCAGCTGATAGCTCCCGTGCTAGCCTAAACCCGTAGTATATCACCATTCAGTCTTGAGTTAAAGGGTTGTCCTTTTGACAGAGTTTCATATGTTATGTATTTATACGAAGAACACACACATACTTCTCAAATGTTTCATGCATTAGTGAGAGGACAAAATGAATTGCTTACCGACATACTGCTTCCAAAATTCAGTCTACAAAGAAAAAATATGAGGATAAGTTAATGGTAGCATCTACAGTATTTTGGTGTTGATTTCTTCTCTTTTATAACTTTTATAATACATGTATATGTATGGATATTTTAAAATTACAAAGAGAAGTATCTTTTTTTAAAGATTTATATTCTTTGCTTCTGAAGGATATTATGTAGAAATACTCACCGTTCTTTCTTTGTTTTCAAAAACTTCTTGTGCTTCTTCAAAACTACACTTTTCTTCTATGCATTCTCTCTCAAGATTCCCTCTAACAAACTCTTCCAATTTACCTGAATTATACCTCTTTGGCCGAGTCAGAATTTTGGTGGCATTTTCATGATCAAGAAAAACTGAAATTTAAAAGAGCTATACTTTAGAAAAAAGAAAACATCATGAAAATTAAATAGATCTCTTAAGAAAGGCTTTGTTTTTAATCCAAGTAATCCCAAAGCCAATTTCTCTTTGAGGCATAGAGCCAAAATCTGTGATGTTTCCACAGTACTGTATACACATGGAGATTTAGGAATTAAAATTCAATTTTACTTTTAGTCAGGAGAGCTCCACTAATAAAAGGTCAGATTTTCAATCGTGTTTGAATTTACTTTGGATGATAAAGAAAGTTCTCAAATAAGCAGTTAACTTCACACTTTGTCATCACTTGAAAATAGCTCATTGCAGATCTTTGCAAGGTGATCCATCACCCTGGCTGGGCTGTGTTTTCAGGATGCAGTTGCCCAAATGACTTTGCAACAAATGTGTCCTGAAGAACAGACATTTAGGCAACTGTGATCCTGCTGCAAAAGTGACTGTGGTGTGTCTCCCTAGATGTTAAACAGAAACCACTGTATTTTTTTTTTTGTGTGTGTGTGTGATAGGAATTCCAATGATTTAAGCATTTCTCTGGAATTTAGGATGTGGTTTATTTTAGCTATGACTGCCTAGTCTGTAGAGATACTCTTGAAGTCTGGAGGGTTGAGGTCTCTATCCGAATTCTCTTCCTCCTTTGTTTTCTCCTGTGTCTCTATATCTGTCTCTGTCTCTGTCTCTCTCTCTGTCTACATACATAGTCATGTGCCACACAATGATTTTCAGTCAATGATGGACTTCACATATGGTGGTCCCATAAGATTAAAATACCATTTTCACTGTATCTTTTCTATGTTTAGATGTATTTAGAAATGCAAATACTTAGCATTGTGTTACAGTTGCCTACAGTGCCTGGTACCCAGTACAGTAGCATCCTCTACAGGTTTGTAGCTAGGAGCAATAGGCTGTACCATATCACTTAAGTGTGCATACATACTATTTAGGTTTATGAAGTGCATTCTGTCATGTTCACACAAGGATGACATTGCCTAATGACACGCTTCTCAGAATGTATCCCAGTCATTAAGCTATGCATGACTGTAAACACACATACGTGTTTGTCCGTGTATGTATGTATATAATTAACAAGAGGAACTCAAGAAGTTGCCTGGAGCTGTTCCTTTCTTCAAGAGACTGGCAGTATATCTGATGCCATCTCAATAGGACCAAGTGCTTATAACATGATCTTTCCAGGGCATTTGGGACTACT